AAAAATATTAACTAAAAATTAAATTTTTAAACAAACTCTCTAAAAAAAATTTTAATAGAATTATCTATCTGGCACTATTCTCTCATTTTAATTATTATTTTAAATCATGTTTTAATATAACCTATAAATTGCAATTAATTTTTTTAATTAAAATAAAATACTCAACTAGAACTACTTTAAAGCAAAAAAATCAATTATATATTGTATAAAAGCATTACCTAAAATTTTAAATTAAAAAAGTTAAAGTGACAAATGAGAGTGACATAAATCGAAAATAGGTGACTCCCATCTCATGAAAACGAGTAATTCACAGCTAGTAAGCATACAATTGCTTAATGTGTTGTATGAACACGAACTAATAAATTAAATAGATACCTTACTTCCAATCCTTTCCAATCTTCATCCTCCCTTTTTCCCCCCATACCTTTTCCACCTTTCCTCTGGTTTTTTCCCCAGAGTATATCTCCTTTTTCTCTTTTTGGACGGCTTCTTTATCATATCCCTGTCAACCCCATTCAACTTTTCCACCTAGATTCCTTCATCTCTTCCATTTCCTTCCTCCTATAAATTCACCACCTCCTTCGTTCCCTTCATATCAACCTCGTTTGAATCCTTAAGCTGCTTGAACCAAACCACCAACAATGGCTACACAAGGGTACATGAGCCAGAGCACATCACAGAGGCCAGTAGCCATGGTGTTGGCTCTAGTTACAGCGGTGGTGCTGTCACCATTGTACGTGAGGAGAAAACAGGAGACGCGTTTCTATGAGAGTAAATTGAGTTCTGGGTTTGTTCTTCCCATGGTTCTTGCTGGACTCATTGTAGCCATTAAGACTACTTCCTCATCATCAATGCAAAGGGGAGGCAGAGGTTCATTCTTCCCATCTGCAGACCCTTCCTGGGTTCTTAGGATTGGGAGTTCCTCGTGGGGACTTGCCGGAGTCCTAGTGATGCTCATGCTTGTCCTGTCATGGCAAGAATCCGTCCAAGAATTCTTCTGGAGATAGAAAGTTTACCGTCATAGTATCCCTAATTAGAAAGTTTACCGTTGTAGCATGCCTAATTAGCCTATGTATTCCATTATCTCAGCTGTAATAAAACTTCAGTTATGAAAGTCATTCAAGTTCTCCTTCTTTAACCTTAAAGAACCGAAAATTGCTGGATTTTGTTCTGCACCAGCCAAATTCACTAGCATTCTAAGCTTATGAAAAGTGTACGAAAATCAAACTTGCTTGTACAACTGTACAAGTACTTAGAAAAGAGACAAACGCAAGACCATTCATGAGTACTAAGAAATTTCTGTTTTCAGCAATGAAGCTGCAAAAACGCTAATGCTGGTGGAAATTGGAAACTCATGGAAAGCAATAATTTCATTCCCCATTAAATATATATTAGGAATTGTTTCCAGGTAACAGAACCATGTAGGTGTTCCATACAAATATTATCATTTACACACAAGATTGTATATAAAGGGTCAGTTAAGTACCGGTCAACTTCTAAAGGTGACCATGTTAGCAGTAGTGGCAGGCGCTGTGCCTGGGAGGACAAGGTCACGATCATACATCCGCTGAATCTCTTCCCTGTACTCTGTCAAAGACTTGTCGGGAATGGCAGGCGTCAGCTCCACCACATCACCCATTTTAAGTAAGCAGGTAGGATCACTAACAGGTTCATTGTTCAGCCTTGGTCTCAATTCTTCCTTAATGGCAAACCCATATGGAGACCATCTGGAACTGCAATCACGGCCAGCATTTTCTAGTAGATCCATCATTGTTGAGTTTGCAGAAAATTCTTGCACTGACATCTGCAACATTAAATATTTTTGAATGTGATAAAACTAAAAAAAAAAAAAATTCAGACCACAAGTTCAAAGTTTAAGATAAAACCATAGGCTAAAAACTACTGTCAGAAAACGAAACAATAACAGTGCATGAACTAGTACTTTTGCACAATAAGATAATCCTTGTGCTGATAAAAGGTATTTCTTTATGGATCTGCCATGGCTTCATCTAAAAAAACAATGGATACGCATTCATTCGATTCAACTCCCTGGTATTTAAGACCTATTTTCAGAACAGCAGAAACAAGGGACATGATTTTGAAGTCAAACCTTATCATTTTCGATGATGATGACAAAAACAGGTCCATCCTGGGCACAGTGAGACTGGAAAGAAAATGGGCAATCTTCTGAGTGAGATGGGAATTTGCAGGGTGGCTTAATAGAATCAGCAAAGTCAATAGATGATCTGTTTTTGTTCATTGTTTCACAATGCCAAGTCACCACCCATCGTGCCCATTCAACCATCTGAAGCACAAATGAAGAGTGCTCAGAGTCACCTTCCTTGTACCTCCAATGAGCTGCAAATCCAAACTCAGCCTGCAAATGCATTTCCATTGTTCGAATTTGAACTTCAAGTGGAACCATATCTTCACCCATCACAACTGTGTGCAAGGACCGATACCTACATATAACAGAGGTTCAAAACAATATTAGAGGGGGTAAATGTAGATGTAAAGAACATAATGGATTTTGTCAAGGCTAAAAGCACACATGATACATGAGCTGTTACTTACCCATTAAATTTAGGATCGATAATGTAATCCTTGAGCTTCCCAGGCACTTCAGACCATAACTGGTGAACAACTCTCAATGCATTATAGCAATCTTCCTCACTTTTGACAACAACACGTAGTCCATGAATATCATGAATTCCATCCATACTCAGTCTCTTTCTGCACAAGAAAAAATGCTATTATATTACTCCCCCCGTCAGGCCCTCAAAGGAGTGTCTGTGCAAGTGCAAGAATGCATGTATTTTTCCTTTTGATTGAGTGTGCAAAAGTATATGGCTAAAATGCAGCTTTAATCCAACTACTTCGAAATTAAAATTTCAAAAACAAGAACTGCCAGAGGGAGAGCATACTTTAACATCTTGCGGTATATGCTATACAAACTTTTATGTCTTCCAGAGACATCATGGTAAGGAATTGCTTCTTTGTTTAGAGCTCCCTCTAATTTCTCCATAGCAGAAGTGATCATAGCTTCATCAAAGGACTTCTCAAGCCTAGAAGACAGTTCTTTGTGCTCATCAGGATTGAGATGCTTGAAACACAGATTCTCTAGTTGCTCCTTCCAGCTAGAGATTCCCAATCTGTTGGCCAAGGGGGCAAATATTTCCAAAGTCTCTTTAGCAAACCTCTGCTGCTTCACCAAAGGCAACGCATCTAGAGTCATCATGTTATGCAAACGATCAGCCAATTTAATGAGGACAGCCCTGGCATCTGCCATTGCAAGGTACATGGTGTGCAGGCGATCTGCCTCAACAGTTTTGCTTGCTGTATTGTTCTCACGGGCAAGCTTACTTAGTTGACTAAGCTTGGAAACCTGTGTCCATTCAGTAAAATGAAAAAAGTTTAGAAGCTTACTTCATCAATTACTTTTATCTAGTTATACATCAGTTGATATGCTGCTAGAACATTATCAATTTATAATGAGTTCAAATTGAACAACTATAAATTCCAAGCTGCAGCACAAACATATTGGTCTATGAGGCTCATGGATGGGAAGACTTTAATTCTAAAAATTTTTTCTCATAGTAACAGAGACAATTTCAACTAAAAGATAAAGACTAAAGGATAAAAATTTTGTTCTAGTAGAAACAGAATTTATAGTTTTCCAGGGAAAGAAACCTAAGAAAAAGATAAAAGTAGCTAGAAAAGTGATCTTTCATCATTTTGTCATCGCAAGAAAAAACAGCAGTCCAAGATAAAGGTTCCATAAAGGGTAGCATTTTAGTAGCAGAATCCCAACCAAATGCATTTGCATAGAACCATACAACAACGAAATGTGACAGAAACAGTTTAATTGGTAAGAGCTGTTTACCCATGTCCCGCCATGTGAGAAAACAACTAATTAAATACAGTGTCATAATTCATAAAGCTTCTTTTATTTACTCATAATTAATTTATCTGCCAAGGGAAAATGGAATGAACAGAATTCAACTGCATACAGTCCAATTCCTATCTAGGTTGGAGGAAAGAAAAGCACAGTGTACAATTACTTAAATGATTTAATATTCCTATGTCCTGCAGCCAAACTTAAACTATTGTTGTCAAATCCAGCAAGATGTATACTTCTAACATTAAAACAATTCTATATGTCATAGAAATCAATCACAGATGGAAACCACGTCTCTCACCCCTTCAACCAGATCAGCAACGCCTGCACCGAATGTGCTGAAAATATTGTTATAGCTCAAAAAGGAATCATCAAGTGTGTCATGTAAAAGCCCTGCTGCAACTACAGTAGAGTTAGCCCCAATTGAAGCCAACAAAACTGCAGTTTCCACACAATGTTGCAAGTAAGGATCACCACTGGCACGCATCTACAATAATAGAGTAGCAAAAACACGTTATATCCCTGTGATCCCACAATACTTAAATTCCAAAAATAAAAAAATTTCAATCAAATTATTCAAAACAAACATTCAATTTCCTTTACCTGCCCCCTATGGGCCTTCTCAGCTTCATGAAAAGCCTTCACCACAAAATCATCAGAAAATATTTTGTGCCTTAATTGAGCACTGGAAAGCAAATCTTTAGCATAGGGCTCCAAATTTAATTCAGCAACACTGTCATCCATGTTGAATGTCAATTCATCAACAATACCAACATTATCCACCTCAAAGCTCGGAGAACCATAATCAACACACGACCCCAGTGCATTCCTCACGAATCCATTGAATAATCCACTAGCACCTCCACGAAACGAGCCCTGAAAATTCACATCCCCACACTTTTCCCGCGCTATCCTCATCGGAGGGCTGCTGCTACTGCATGAAAATGGACCTTGAAATACAGACACTGGGCTCTGATGGTTTTTCAAGAACGACCCACTGAATTTACTAGACGAATAGCAAAAAGAACTGCTCAGCTCCTCTCCTCTGTACGATCCCAAATCCTCTCCAGCAGGAGAGTAGCTCGAGGAGGACGAGTGCTTCACAGAGGGCGATGAGAAGAGGCACGAAAGCCCACCAACAATCGATCTCTGCGAGGAAGATGCCATCGTCGTAGACGCTGAAGATGAAGATCTTGAATTCAACTCACATTCGTAGGACGAGTGGGCGTTGATGTTGAGCTGGTGCGGCGTTGAGCAGACGCTACCTGGTGGACTCGCATAGAGAGCAATCGTCGAGACCACCATGGAAATGGATTTTATCAGGTCAAGATCAAATATTTAGAAGAACCCAATAGAACAACAGCCACTAACTTTCCCCAGGAAACAATTCTGTAAAAACCCAGATATTTTGTCTAACACCCAGTAATTTTCTCAACAAAGCAAACAATTTTCCTCACGAAACCAAAAGTTCCCTTGTGACCCTCTAATTTCCCTTAAAAACCCAGAAAATTCGCCTAATAACCCAACAGTTCCCCCTTATACACGCGAAATTTTCACTTTTTTCTCAAAGACCAAAGAATTTTTTCAAGGAACCTATAACTCTATGAAACAATTGAGACCCAATTCAGAAGAATTTGTATTTATCAGAGGAAAAGCACAAGAAGCCAAGAAATTAGATGTTGCAGGAAGAATTTGAGCTACAATATGTACAAATAAAGAAACAAATTTCTTGAGTTGAAATGGGCAATTTGGAAAAAGAAAGCTCTGAAATTGGAGCAAAATCTACAAACCCTAACCCTAAAACTAGACAAAGAGAGTCAAAAACGCTTGAAATTCGAAGAAACACAAACGCTTTCGCTCTCCTTGATTTTCATTCCTCTCTCTGTGCTGCGGAGTATGGAGTTCTTATTTGCTTTGCGGCCAGGGAAAGGAACACTGAAATTACCTGCTTACCCTTGAAGAGTGACTGAAATAACCGAATGGTTATACGCGTACGGATACGGACCCATTTTATTGGCTTTGGTTTTTTTTTTTTCTTTAATGTTTTACCGTCTAAATTATAATAAATAAATATATATATATATATAGTCGAATAAGGAGAGGACCTGATTAAGTGATTATTAAGGATTTATTTTCATTTAATGATTTTAATTATATAATTTAATATAGCAATAGCAGGATTTTTTTTTTCATTGCTGATTTTAGGTTATTAACGTAATTACTAATTAGGCTCAAACAGGGATTATGACAGCAAATATATATATTTATGAAAAGGATAAGGATAAAGAAAAAATTCTGAAAGTACTGCTTCATAAAGTTAAGTTAGAATTAAAATAAAAAAAAAAATTTTGTTTATCTTAACAAATACTCTAAAGAATAATTAATTTAAAACAAATGTTCAAGAATCTATGCTTGTGTGTAACTAATAGAGTAGGGAATATTACATTCTAATATATTTGATTGTGAGTTATATAAGAAAAAATAAATTTTTTTTTTATTCTTAAATACTTTCTTAACTAATTTAAGACTTGAACTTGAGATTTTTAAATCGAAGATCTCACGTTCTTAATTGTTTGAGTCACTACGTTGGGATTCATGTTTGTTTTGTTTACACACATGTATGTTATCAATTAATCTTCACAATAAACGCATAATATTAGATAGATAGATATCGATTTGTGTCTTTTTTAAGTGAAAAATTAATAAAAATGATATAATTCATATTATTTTAGAAAATTTTTTGTCACCAAATACTAATAAAAAGTTATTTATGATATTTTAAACTAAAATCTCACCATAATCACATTTATATAGGTGGATTATATTGTGTTCTATACATTTGAGCAATAAAGCCTCAGACAATAGTCTTATATATTAAATCATCGAATATATAATGATTTATGAATCTGTCACATATTAAAAATTGATTAACTTAATACTAATTGAATCGCTTATATGTTGAATCATAGGATACATATTGTAGAATTTTTTTTAATAATTTGAATTATATAATTAAGATTGTATAACTTTTTTTTGGCTTTTTTATTCTAATTCCTATATTATTATTTAAATTATCAAACTCTAATTTGTTTAGAAAAAAATTATTTCATCACTCGAACCAACAAAAAGAGAAATGCATTGGTTACTGATAAAACCTTCATATCCACCTTAAAATAAGAGTAGAGATAAATTCACATCTCTAAAAAAAATGTAAGGATAAATTATTTTTTAAATTATAAATCGAAACAAATTATTTATTTTTTAATAAAAAAATTGATATCACATATTAAAATATAAATAATTTATTTTAATATATAATTTAAAGAAATAATACATCCTTATATTTATTTTAAAGGATAGAGTAGTTCCGACTGTATTCAAGAGTGTTAAAAATTTACTTTTAACTTTTTATTTTATTAGATTTATAAGTTTTAACTTATCATTTTATATGAGTAAAAGTGTAAATAAGGATTCCAACTTTACACTTTTTTCTATTTAAGGATGTTAATTTTGTCAGTTTCTAAATAA